GGCCACACTCTGGTCAGACAAAAAAGCTGCAGAACATAGAAATCCTTTCACCTTCCTAAATAAAATGCTGCAGAAACTTGTGAGGGGAGCTGAGACCCACCTTTGCACATGCTGCAAAGTAGTTTAATAACTGATCTTGCTGGCATTATTTGAGCTGGCAGACATTGCTCTGGGGGCACGCTGGAGACTGAAAGTTTTTGCCTCTTTGTGTCCAAGACAACCTTTAAATGCACCAGTCTTCTTGTAAATTCTAAGCAGAACAAGCCCCAAATCTCAAAAACATCTGATTATATATATATATATATATATATATACACACACACACACACACACACACACAAAATGATGATGATGTCTCCTGCCCAGACAACTCTGATCAGGGCATGTCTTTACTGTCCAATTTATCACCAAAAAGCTTTCCATAACACACTGACCCACCTCCTCACAAGAGGGATAACACAGATACAGTGTGAGAGAAACAGATATTTTAAAAGTATTATTCACCTTATTTTAAAGTAGTTGTTTCTGCATATGCATCTCAGTCATACTTTCTTTATATATTATTTAGATGTCAAGATTACATAACTACAAGTGACTACAGAGAGAGGACACTAGGACGATTCTAAGTCCCTTCTTTGATTCACAGGAATACACCTAGTAAGATCAGCAATGAAATATTTTTACATTGCTACTAACTGAAACTGTTCTCATGAGAAAGACTTCCAAGTCTCTCTTTCTAGTCTTTAGGTCTTCTTTGCATGGTTTTGGGTGTATTGAGGAGAACTTTTGCTTGATCATTCTGACCTTGACAAAAGAAGTTTAGGAAGCAAGAATGACATTATTCAGCTCTGGTAATTAAGAATTCTAAGTGGTACCCTAAATAACATTCTAGACTCCAATCTCATGTGAAGATTCAGTTCTTCAATCAAGCTTTTAATGAAAACTACCTTACTTCACACTTCATCACAAACTTTGTGACTCTGAGATCAGCTATAAGGGTAATTTTCAATTTTCACTGTATCTGATTTTGAGCCATTAATAATTTGATGAATCAGATAGACCAAGAACAGAAACCATAATGGAAAACAAACTGGAAGCCAGTGAAGTCAACCAACTTCCCTGCAAGCTTATACAAGCCTAATTCTGTGGCAAGAATGCTGTCACATTCTGCATTAACAGGAATTGCTTCCACTTGCAACTTTGTGTTCCACACTTTCAATTTCAAGTTGCAGTCTTAGAGAAGGAAAAAAAAATCCAGGATAAATGAAGGGAAGAAAAAACAGACAAAAACAAAAAAAGCAACATCGAGTTTCAATATAAAGTAGTATCTTTCTCTAGTAATTGTCTTCCTCTTCTACCATATCTGACTAGGTCAAAAATTTTTATATAGAAATATCTGCTAAAAATCTCTCTGCATTTTCCAGATAGGGGATATTATAACTCAAATCCACTTAAAGGCATTATTCCCATTTGCTTAAATTTGGAATAGGATACAATACTTAGAATGATAACTGCAACATTTCCATCTTAATTTTTCATAATATTTTTTAGCAAATTATTTTAGGAAATAATTTTAAAGAACACTGCAGTTTCCATAAACATGCTACTAACCATAAGATTCTTTAAAAAACATAGTACAATAATATCTCCCTAATACATACTGAAAAAACAAAGGGTGTTCAATTTTAAGCAGGAGTATTACTATGAGAATTTTTCTTGACAAAATAATGAATTAACACAATGATTAAATTAATCTCCATATGAGCAAACTGCTTGAAAATGTTTTCCTTTTTAAATGGCACCACAATCAATCTAATCCTAGTAGCTACATTATTGGTACACTAGTCAACTTTTCAACCCAGAAATTCCCCAGATCCCTCCCATCAGCATGATGTACCAATTAGAGTAAAGAGGATGTGGGACTCATGACACCAGATTTGAGAACCATGCATCAGTACATTCTAACACCAATGAATATATACCTAAAAATATTGTACCACTTACTTGCATGTGCGTAACTGCTGTCAGCAGCAATGGGAATGAATATTATTTACTTTAGTTCGAAAAAGTAAACTTCTATTAAAAATATTGATAACCTGATTTGTTGACTCAATTCTACAACATTATCACACTTTTAAAACTGTTTGCTTTCTACTCCAATTTCAAAACATTTCAAAACAATTATTTGTCCTGAGGGAAAGAAACCTTGATCGTACATTATTTAAAATTTGTGCAAAATTTATATAGAGAACAAGTTATTTTTGCACCACAAGAGAAATATTGCATTCTCTTATACAAAAAGGCAATAATCTACTTTGGGGAAGGAAAAATTATTTTAAAAACACACAGCAGATTGTAAACCATTTCTCTTACTTTTTAATAAAAATCATCTATTGCATGCTGAGCCATTCAAAGCATAACATTGATTTCAGTGAGATCATTTACAGATATATATTAGTCTTATTTTATAAATTAGTTTAAAATTACATTTGATGCATATAGGGTTTTGCATAGCTATATTAGCCTAATACTAACACAACTGTGTAGCTGCTAGTTTGTTATCATTTTTTGCTACAGAAATTTTGCACCTCCAGAGTTATTATTAACAAACATTCAAAGAATAATTAATTACACAGAACATACATATAACCTTTTAAAAGATGTACTTAAAACATCTGATAAACCAGAACACATATGGTATTTCAGTTTTAATTTCTAAAAAGGCTTGGATAACTTTTAAAATATTATGAAATAATATAGTATTTTGAAAATATTACGAAACATGCAGAAAACTGTTACAATGAAACCCCTCTTTGTCTATATACTGTAGATCAGACAATAAAATTCCCTCTTCATTGCAGATTTCTGTGCTATTTTTCCTTTTACCATCAAACTCTGAAAGAGTGTGGAGTTTGAAGAAAACGAAAATCTTACCAGGGTGTTTATTTTTTTTCCTAATTAAAAATATACAGTAAAAGGTTGACCTGGTCAAAACAGAGCAGTAAAACGTACCTGGAAGCTCTAAGGCTTTCCTAAAATGGCAGTGACTTCCTGTACAATTACAGAGAAAACACATCTGTCCCTGGCATGGTGAGTACACTGTGAAGATCCACTGGGGCTAAGACAGAAAGAGTTTTTCTTCACTGGTAAGGAAAGTCAACCTGCAACAACTGTAGGCTGCTGGCTCCTGTGGTGCTGTATGGCTGGGACAGAACACAGGTAACCATGAAGGAATGCATGATTCCTGCGCCTGCTCACAACGTGAGCTTGCTCACTGCTGTGGTTTAGTGCTCCTCCCCACTTTGCAGGGAAATGTCACTACCCCTACTGCGCCCAGGACCCTTTGACAAAAAAATGTGCTGGGGACAGATCTATTGCTCACATCATTCCAGTTCATGGAGACTGACGGAGGTGACAACCCAGTTTCAGCTGCCCTCCCTGTAACCGGGGTCCTCTGAAGCAGCTATTGCAGCCAGCATGATTAGCGTGACAACACCATGAGCACGGCTAAGGGTGCCACCAGAGCCAGACCCTGGCCCATTGGCAATGCAGTGCTTCCCGCCTCTCCTCCAACTCACTTTCCCCCCTGCTCTAAGGCTGCTCTCTCCCACGCACTGTGGCCACCAAGACAATCTCTCAAAGAGAAACACTGAACAAAATCCATTTGGCAATCTCCAGGAAGACATATAGAGAGAGTCCTATGCAGGCCAATCGTGAACCAATCCTTAGTTAGGAACCACTGAACCAATCTTTAGTTCACCACCTAACCTTAATTCAACCTAACCCTAATTCAAATAAGAGAAGTGGGCCACAAGTTAGACAGATTGCTCTGATAGGCCATCAGACCAGATACATTACAAGCCTTGTGCTGACAGCCTAAATTCACGTTATCTTTATCACTTTACCATTGTGAAAATAAAGATAAATCAGATGTATTCCAGTAAAAGAAAGTCGGTCTGCTGGCTGAGTGTTATAGGTTAGGGTTTTAGGATACTATACAAGTAACAGCTTGTATATGGTATTTCTATAGTAATTCCTATGTTACTTGTATGCAACTTGTATAGTAATGTGTATGTTACTATATGAGTAACAACTTAAATTAGAGAATTTTCTATAATTCAGTTAGAGACTGTTTCACAAATGGTTTGAATGTAGACTCTTAGTTTAAGGAAGGTGAAAAGGAAGCATGTTGTGCAAGAGACCAGCTAGTTGAATTCCTGCCTGATTGACAGGAAGTTTTTATGCTGCAAGGGTGATGTTGCAATATTAATTGTTAATGTGCCTAGAGCCCTTGTATATGCATCTTTTTATTATTTAAATATTGAAATAAATAAACCACCTCACTTAAGCTACCAGCAATTCAGATTTGTTAGATTCTTTCATTAATTTTGATGGTGCTGAACCAAGATCTGTTAAAAGAGTACGGGAAAATAAGTCAGTTGGTAGTCTCTTGTAACTTCCCAATGTAAATACCTTAGTTGTAAGAAATCAAAAGTTATCTAGATTGCTTTCACTCATTGAGTTTTTAAATAACTAATGGTGTACTAAACTTCCCTGCAGAAGTCAGCATTTGGGCTTGGCTAAATAATAATTCAAGATTACAAGAACATGCATTTTTGTACACTAAGCTTCAACCCCAGAGGAGATATACTAGAGACTCAAAAAAAAAAAAAAAAAGAGAGAGAGAGAAAAAGCAAAAAATAAAAAGCACAATTTCAAAAACAATTACTGATATAGTCTTAACAATAATGTTACAAACATGATATAATATGTTGGTAAATAAAATAATTAATAAAACCAAGGAGTTAAACGCTTTGATATATTTAAGATCAGGAGAAATGAACCATCATTATTTAATATCGACTTTAATTTTTAAATGCAAAATTCCACTAAAAAGGGTAGGGCCTCGGGAACTTTAAATTTAAATGATTACGATGACTAGAAACAAAGGAAACAATAAACTTAGTGGATGTTAAAATGCCTCAAAAAAGCCAACTTACGCAGCAGCTTCTTGTTTTGACAGCCCTTTGATATTCTTCGCCAAATAATCATCTATGCCATCTTTGTCTTTGATCAAATGAACCCTAAATTTAAATGAAAAAAATTAAAAGAAACACTGTGAGGTGCTGATATAGACTTCTGCAGCATGTATAATATATTAACATTGCCAAGTAGAGTTAAACACTGAAATATTGACAAAGTAATGTATCAGACAGATTCTGTAAACACATACAAGTTTTTTTTTTAATTTTTTGGTCTGTAGCTATTTTAAATTTTTATTTTTGCAAGAAAGCAGAGTTGATATCAGCTTTTAAAGACCTGATTATCCAAGAATTCTACCCAAACTGCAGGAAATTTTGTATTAGCTAAATCAATGTTAATAGACTAAGCTATCCACATTCAACATTTTCTAAATCATAGCCAGTATATTTTTGCATTTACAGTAAGCAATAGGCAGAGTGGTCTGATCTGTTTCATATTTAACTCTAAAAATTAATTTTAAAAAATCAAAAAAACCCAAACCTGACTCATACATATTTTCCTTTGTGCAATGCAGCTTTGTTCATCTTTTCACAATGAGCAGCATATTCCAAAAAGTGGCTCATTAATGAAGCAATCTGAAGTGTGCTATATTATTATTACAATAATATTCCTAAAAAACTTCAGGGTCTATGGAGCTAATGTTAAAATTTGAACTGTATGACATTTCAGCTTTAATTTCAACTATCATCTCTCTGCATCTCCACTATGATAACCGAATATATGCCCTGCATTTTAAGAAATAGCATACACTTACTGACATAAAGTAAACTTAAAGAGATTTTGATATCCCAACAGTAGAGAATTCTACTTTTGTAAGTAATATAAATTTATTTTAAAAAAGAGAGAGAGAGAGGAAAGGGATTGTCTGGTTAATCACTCGAAGATAAAAGAAATTCAATATTAGTGTTGCACATAAATCTTTACTGCTCAGAGAATACCAAGGACATTTCATGAAATTCATTTAACTGAAAATTAAACAGCAAAGCAACATTTAAATATTTTGACACTTCTGTACCTAAAACAATTTAATGGTGAAAGCTTCCAGCACAAATTGAGCATTTAAATTTGTTCCCAAATTTATCACAGAGCTGTACCAACTAATGTTCACAACGGCACAAAGGGCACAACATACCTCTATGACTTACTGCTGACTATAAAAATAGTCGTAATAAATGTTGCTATAAAATTTAGTATAATCAATATCAAAATTTCTCACCAAAACAGTCACACTCTAGGAAGATCTACAATGTCATAAGGATAATGAAAAGTTAAGGCAACTATGGTATATCTTAAAACAATGCAAAATACATTCCAAGATGCTGTATACTTTTGTCAGGAAACTGAAAAAAAATGAAAAAAAAATATAGCAAATCACAGAATCACATAAATATGAACTATTCAGTAGACCAAAAATAGCTGACCTTTGCACCTTAAGACTGCAAAAAGACATTTTCCACATATTAAGAAAACAGAGAACATTTCATAAATAGAGGACAAAAGTTCCAAAGTCCCAAACCGAAGTCACAGAGTCAAATGCAATAAGCAAATTTCTAGGAGCACGACATCTATTTGCAATTTAATCTATACTGCATGTAAAAATATTCTCAAACTGGAATACTGAAAAGCCTGCTGCTGTTTCTCTACCTCCACAGAAATATTTCAATTATAACAATCAGAAAAAAATCCTCCAGAATCACACACACTTAAATAAATAAATAAATAAAATACAACTACTTTCAAGAGGAAAAATACCAAAGATCATCAATTTTCAAATCAATTACAGGTTATATAATATCTAAAATATCCTGTATTGGACTCATGAAACTGCACAGTCAACCAGCACAAAGAATTTAACAGAAATTATTGAATTACTGAAATAGTAAATACTTATTGCAGGCCCTGGCTGATATTATCAGTGATGTTAATGCACAACAAATTAGGCAGGATAGTTACAGTAGCAATTTCTCTCATGTCAATTATTATTTATAATGGCTTGTTATATGCAATAGGAATTAAAAATAAGAAAATTATTTAATGTGAAAAATAGATACTGTGAGTTAGAATGGACAGTGTTTCATAACAGAAAAACAAGGTAAAGACAACACTGTAAGACACACTATTTTTCTTCTCTCAGAAGTTGTCGCTTGCTTTTCTTAACTTACCTTGGCCTTACTTCCCCAGTGCTCCTATGATGATTCATACCGCACCTCATAAATAGTTTAGCTAAAAATCTTCCTCACCTGTATATTCTATCTAATTTTAAATCACTCTCATTAAAAACAGATATATTTTAATCCAATGAGCAAATATAGTTCCCAGTCAGCATTTTATACTACCTGTTCCTATAACTATTTCTCTTACACAGAAAAAAAGCAAATGATTTTTACTACAGATTGATTTAATGATAAACTATGATACAGAGCATGAAGGACAAAGCCAAACTGATTCTCATAACTTCCTATTCCCACTCCACGCTCCGTTAACTTAGATCCAGGTTTTCTCTACATTCCTTACAAAAGGAAACAGCAGAACTTGTCTTGCTCTAATCAACAGGGACCTACAGCATGGTTCAGGCCCTTACAGAGTCTCACATCTCTTTTTTGCAGAAGTTTTGCAACTTCTCTGAGAATGGTGGAGAATGATCTTCTGGAGCATCAAGCACCACAAATGAAGGGAAAAAAAAATGGTTCTGGGACAATTTTTTTCAGCATTACAATTACCAGAAAATAAGGTGACATCACTGCACTTCCTTATTCTACCAGTGTGCAAGATGATGCCTATCAGTATGAGCCCCTCGGAAAGGCTGGGGCCAAGGATACCTTGTTCCTAGATCCGTGTGGCTTTAAGGCATGGACAAGCAACTCCTTAATTCTGACTTGCTCTAGGCCTTGGAGCACAAGGGCTATGGAAAATACAAGGATTCAAAACCAAACCAAACCCTGAAATCGAGGCAATTCCAGGAAAAATAGCATACATCCTCAGGGTGACAATGAATATGCTCACTCTATTAAATAGCGAGGCAGAGCAGTTACTGAGGAACTAGTGCTCATCCAAAGAAAGACCAAAGTGTTTGGATACAAATAAATGTGAGGAGAACTAAGTGCAACTGACTGGGTAGCCATGCAGGTGTGTACAGGAGGAAAATGGCCTGAAAACACTCTGCTATATTTCAGCGTAATCCTTGCAGTTACTAAGTACAGTATTTTTTTCCCAAGTCCAGTTTTATTTATCATATTATGAGATATGGTATTGTATTCTGCTCAAGTAAATAAAGAAAAAATCTTAGTTTTCATCTGAAAAAGTGTATTTTCAAGGAACTATACTGATATCTATATAATAATACCTATATAATACCTCTAATAGAAAATAATTTTCTACAACTCCTGAAAGGGTTTTGAAAAATTAGGATGAGTTATCCACTTTGCACGTAATACATTACCCCATTTTTTTCATTTTTAAATACTGTAACAAACACATTTGTTACCCCCTTGGGACTACTGAAGCTTGGAATAGTTGAAGTAAATATATTACTCATTATATTATATCATGGTAAATACATTTCTCGGCAAGAAAAGAGGCACCTACCTTGCAAATTCTAATGCTGGGCAAACTGTTTGCTCTATGAAGGTGGGATGCCCACGTGGCCTTTGTACGATCAGTGGAGGCAAAATATTCATTTTATCTAAAGGAAACAAACACAATCCACATCATCTGAAATTTTATCTTCACCATGATCCAATTACTTATCCTTCCCAGACGATTCCCAGTAGACTCCTTTTCACTTCTGCTGCATCATGTGTAAAACTGGGCTCCAGTTCCACACAGATCTTTTCAGGCCTCAGCATTACTTCGCCAGGGCATAATGCATGGGAAAGGTTATGATATTCCTTTCAGTAACTTTCTTGATCTCATTTGGATGCTCTTGATTTGCAGGGTGGTAAGAATGAGACTTGCATGTGATTTCGTATGCTTTCCCCAAGCTGTTTAGGTCTCAAGTATGAACAGATTTTTTTTTTTTAATTAACTAATAAAGCAGAGAAATGATTGATCATGTGGTATGTGGCGCAACAACAGACACTAACATTCAAAATAATGTTATAATTATCTGTAATAGTAACAATGATTTGAAAAAAAAATCTAAGCAGTGTTATACTTCCAACACAGTATTTTAGTTAGAACAAAATCGGAAAGCCCTGTAGTTGTGCAGAATAGTCTAGCTTGTCATTTTGAGACACATAAATGCTAATAGGACTTTTTTGTCCTATAGAGCTACTGTGTTTTTTCACCAAGTATTCAGTCTACACTTCGCACCATTAGAGTTTTAGCTGGCAGTTCCTTCATTTTGCATGTCTGTGATCTGAGGACGTTAGCAGCAGGAGCACCCTTACTTTTAAATTTGGTTTAATGTAGGTATTGCATGCCCTGCTGGTAGGCCTCAAGGCACAAACTTTTAATAGGGATGGGAAAACAGAACAAAAAAGGGGAGGGGGAGGTTAACTATTTGTTACATTTACGAAAGGAAATTTATTTTGCAGGAATAATTGATACCATTCCATTTGATACCGAATTACATTAAAAAGTAAGCATAGTATTTTATAAGTTAGTACATTTAGTACTAATGATAGTATTTGTTACAGAAGAGAAAATATTACCTATAAATAAACTACTTTACATCTGGAGTTGCATTTTATGCAAGTGTGTCATGGAAAAAAAATAGAAGACAAAAGAATAGGTAATTAATTGCTATCAAAGATCATACATATTATAGAGAATGGCTGGTTTGTATCCAGAAGTCATACAGAAAAGGAAATATCTTTTTAGGAAGATGCTGTTCAGCAAGAAAAGGTACTACAAGTTAGGAACGAGAGCATCGGACGAGCTGCAAAACCCAGGCTCTTGCAGCTGAAGCTGCCGTGCGGCGCGCACCGCGTTCCTCCGTGCAGAGAGCCAGCGCGCTCGGCCGCGGAGCCGCGCGCAGCCCTCATGCAGGCGCAGGGCACACGTGCAGAATTCCCCTGATCGAGGCTTTACAAAGACCAAAACTATTGCCCCGGCTTCTCTTTCACAGCAGAAGTTGCTTCGGTTGAATAACTACTTCATTTTGATTTTGCAGGTGGAAGGTTGTTCTGCACCGACGTGGATGGTGTTTTGCTTGCTTGCTTACGACAGCCTACGCGCA